AAAACACTATATCGGATTCATATCGGTATCGGCAGATATCCAAATTCATGATATCGGTATCGGACATAAAAAAGTGGTATCGTGCCATCTCTAGTTACATGTAAGAGTCAGTCCGAATAAACTCCTAGAAACTCACAGCAGCCGTGCTATTGGTCACATGATGTCATCAAAGTGCCACCATCCACCTGTCAGTCACAGAGGCCACGCCTCTAATAACACCAACCTTAATCCTGAATGCAGTTTAAAAGTTCTCCACAGAGACCAGTTTGTGTATCAGGCTGCAAACATGTTTATTCTGCTGTCAGGTTTAACATGGCAGTCTATGGGACTGACTCTGCTGCCCCTGCTGGACACCAGATGAACTGCAGCTCCATGTTTCAGTCTGGAGGTTGATTCTTGTCAACATGAAACCAGACGTCAGCACATGTGAAATGTTGCTCATACTGTGAACACGAGTCTTTAAACTCAAAGCTTTCATGGAAACGTTAAAATCGCTCTGTGGTGCAGAGCGCTCGCTCGACCGGGAGAGGCAGGACTTCCTGCTCCATCAGCATGCAGAGCTGTGTGTGTGAGGATGCTGTGATCAGGTGAAGGGCAGCAGGAGATCTCCAGGTAAATGATCTCATGTACTAAAATTATTTTATTATTTTCTTAATATAGCACAAGGTTCAGTTTGCTTTGTCCTTTCTGACTCTGAGTACATTTCAGACTCGGTACTTTTTCACCCTTCAGCTTTTACCGCAGTATTTTTAAACCCGGGTATCTGTACTTCTGCCACCTCTGGATTAAAGGCTTCAGCCTGCAGCAACGACACGTGTAAAATATAAAGAGCAGGAGGCATTTTAACCATTTATTACAACAAGTAGTCCACATTTCAATAAAGCTGGAACTGGGTGGATGTTCAGGTGTAAGAGGTCCTCCCACAGAGGCCTGGAGGCATGAATGGTTGAGCTCTGTCTGGAGACTTTAGGAGGTGGTTTTATAATGTGGATGGTTGGTGGTTCGATCCTGGGCTCCTCCAACCTGCGTGGTGAAAAAAGCACTTTGAGTCCTCAAACGGAGCACCACGTGATGGACTGAAGCTGCGGTCTGACCAATCAGGAGCTGAGATTCAGTGTCAGATGATCGGTGAATGTGCAGCCCAAGAATGCTGATGATTGTTAGTCTCATCTACGAGTTTTGCTGTTGTGGAAACTGGTCATAAAACCCCTGTAAGTATTACAGTAACATAAACCTACAGTTTTTAATGTGCAGAATTATTGCACAGCTGAACGACAGCATCAGACTCTCTGTCTGTCACGTTTGCTCTGCTTTGGTTTTGTGAAGCTGAACAAACGTCCATATTAAAACTGAGGTCGGAATCTTACAGGATGTCCCTGAACGCCCCCTCGCTGATGCGGTTTTAACTCCCTGCTTCGTGTCTGCAGGATGGCTACATTAACTTTGTGGAGTACATCGCAGCCATCAGCCTGATGCTGAAGGGAGAAATCAACCAGAAACTGAAGTGGTACTTCAAACTGTTCGACCAGGACGGCAACGGAAAGATCGACAAGGAAGAGCTGGAGACCATCTTCACGGTAATGAACTCACCACCACGCTGACACAGGCTTAATCTTCTCCTGTCTTTGAGCTTTTTAATGCTGCCTGCTCAGCTTCTATCTTAAGACAGTTTAATCCCGCTGACACTGCGTCGACTGCTTCAAGCTTCAAATGATGTCATGGTGTCTTTTAAGGTCGGTGCAGCAATTACATTTTGTCTTAGTCCCACAGAAAGGTTTATGTATTTATAGAAAACTGGTTTCAAACTCACACACTAGACATCTGCAATATTTCCAGCTTTACAGGAAAGTTGGACTGAAATCAAGAGCGTCCCTCTCCACATGGATCCTGAATCAGCAGCACAGAGAACAGGGCTGGATTAGCTCTGAACTTAGACCGCTGCTAATCCTCTGAGCTCAATCAATCAGTCAAGGAAACTGCTGAAAGTGGAACAAGCCGTTCCCTTTGTGTTCTGACCAGTCGTGGACCAGAGAACATGGAGAACAAGATTACATTTACCAGGACATCTTTAAAGCATCGGAAACATCTGATTCAGCTTCTGGAGTTGGTAATCACGGAGCCTCGGACACGGATACCGTGAGCTAAACCACAGTACTGGTCATTCCCTGCAGAGTAACCAGACTGGTGGCCGAATGCTCACTCGTCAGATACGAAATATGAGTTAGCATTATAAAAGGGTTCCTTCCAACCTGAACATGAACAACTTAGCAAACAGCTGGTGAGACCACCACGCCCCCTCCAGGTCCTCTGTTTGCATCCTAACGTGGATTCTTTGATCTTTTACAGCTGAATCGCTCCTGACAGGAACACGTGTTTGTTTCAGGCTTTCACC